ATGAGCAAGATTAATGGTACTGGCAATTATATTTTTTATCACAGAAATGGAGATCAATGGCTCACATTAACAGCAAATAAGCAGATACTGCTCCTGAAATACCCATTCTCCTGACTTTCTGCTACACATCCTGATGTAACCCATGATTATCAGGGTAAAAAGCAGAACAGACCACCACTTTTGGAGGAAGGCTATAGCCAGCATCAGGGAACTAATTTTTAGGAAGTTGGAAAAAGCAAATAGCATTACTGTAGAAATACTGTAGTGAAATAGTGAACAGAACCACCTGTTCTGAATATTTACAAATAAACTCAAAATATATAAAATGTCATTCCTTTTTTTTGTAAAGGAGCCCTGGGCAAATGTTGTATCCCATAGAGCCTTCCAGAATTCAGATACATCTAACAGTGTTTTCATAAAATATAGGTCCAGCTGTATTTGGTGAGAACACACAAATAATTAAGACTAGAAATCAAGTTTGCAAATGTCACCAAATTATTCAGGACATCTGAAAAATCTCCCTCCTAAGCGAATGAATGAGCACCAGCATTGCACATGCGATTCAGTGTATACAAGGTTGAAGAGGATATGTCACATCCACCTTGAACTATTCTGTACAGTTCTGGTTATTTCATTTTAAAAAGGAGACTGGATTTCTGGATTTCATTTTTTTAAAAATATGACTCAGCAAAGACATGGCAGAGGATTACTGAAAGCATAATGAGGGCTTTTTTATCACTCTCTCAAAATACTTCAAAAATACAAAACAACTTTCTTTCAGAGAACCAAATGTACAAGGTCCAGAATATCTCAAACTAGTTCCAGTGCAGAGAATTTGCTCCAGAAACCAGGAATGGCACAGTTTGGGAGAATCATACCAGAACCCTTTGGAATGATCTGTTCCCAGGCTGACAAATTTGTGCATCCCTAGTATGTGAGATTCAGTTTCACACCATCTATAATGTAGCAATGAGGGTCAGGTTATTAACATTCATGCATAAAATTCTAACCTAGATCAAGAGCAAAATATGGAGTGCATTCTTCCGAACAGCCAACCAGCATGGACTTCTCTATTATCTCCTCCTTCTGCTGAAACTTTTGCAGAAGTCTTTTAATTTCTGAAAAACATTAGAATCAGGGGATGCATTAAAAAATACAATCACAACCACTGCAATTATTCATTATCATATTTACAATCTAGGATAGTGGGTTTAAAACAAATGCACAGATGCTGCATCACAAATCTGGATCAATATGGGAGCAATGTTATAATAAAGATTTTCCCAAAGGAATCCAATGACTGCAGTTTTACAACAGCACGGAGATTTAATTTTCTATTAAAGATCTCCAACTCCCTTCCATTGTCCTCACCACTTAAATTGCTATCACCCAAGTTGCTTGCAAGTAGAAAACAAGGGCCTCTTTGACACCCTGTAACATTAGGTCAAGGATGCCCTTGTTTTCTACTTCCTGTAACTTAATGTTACAGGATGTCAAGGATGTTTTTTCTAAGTAGACTCTGACTGCAGGATAGAAAAAACTTCCAAGCAGTAAGAGGCTTAACAGTGGAACCAATGAATCAGAGTGGTAATGGGCTCCATGCCATTGGATGTGTTCAACCAGAGCAGTGTTTCTCTACCTTGGCAACTTTAAGCTATGTGGACTTCAACTCCCAGAATGCCCTCCCATGCTGGCTGGGGAATTCTGGGAGTTG